TTCAGTGACATAAATTCCTTATTGAGTTGTTCTCTGGCTTTGGATCGGCGAGTATTTGACATTGTTTGGATAGCTTTCTCCACTCGTTCCATCCAATAACAATTGAGTAATCCTGATGCTTCGATTTTGAAATGATTGCATTTGTTTTCGTAGACTTGTTTTCTGCGGTGAGCGACGTTGATAAGTTCACGGTGCATTCTCTTGCAATAAGAGTTGGGAACCATTCGCACCCGACTGGATGACACTAGGGGTTGCATTTAATGCTTTTGGGAAAAGTATTATTGTGTAAACACTGATGAAGAATGAACAATTGTTCGCACACAGCACCACAGCGGTTGGAGTAGCTTTCCCATTTCCTCACACAGTTAAGTACATTGCGTCCGAAAGTATCATTCACATATAATGACAGCTTCAAGCGTACATTAACTATTAAAGCAAAAAATCAACAATGGCAGTAGCATGGTTGCAAAGAGCAGGTATATTCTAAAAACGGCGATCCATTTTACGGTAACCAAATAACTGAATTTTCATGGTGCTCTAATGAACAATTTCTTCGATCCATTGTCATGGACGATTTTGTTTAAAACACGTATCGATTTATAGTACTATGTTTTTGTAATAATCGAATAGGAACCGGAATTGAACAGCGCGAACTTGAACTCGGACTGAAAAACCACTGAATTACGCAACGCAAGGTAAAACCAAGACGAGCTGTGGATACAGATGATTCTATTAAGAAAAGCACGCAAATATATATCACATGCGACCAACAGTTATTGGTCGGTTCCTGGACGTCCAATCGGCGACAGTGGGGTTTATTATTATACCTTCATGTATTCGGCCAATCTGGTTGATGCCAATCGGGACCACAGGATTGGTCGGTTATTCTATTCTTGATTGGTTAGCCGGAAGCTGTACCGCGGTGCGTGAGTATTCGTTGCACGATCACCACAGTTTTGTTGGAGATACTGTTACCATTCATTGATCAAAACTCCTTGTAGATGTACACATCTGTTTACAAATTAAAGGTAACTGTGCATTAGGTCTGAAAGGAAAGTGTGGTGGGATAAGTCACGTCATACCACTTGAGATCTTTGAGAATTATGCACACGGGGTGGACAGAAAATCAGTTAAGATATCGCTGTTTTAAGTAATGGGCGAATCATTCCGAAAAGTATGGCATGAAATTCACTAGAATGTTGAGCTCAGTCAATGATATGGTAAACGGTTTTTTGCTGAAGATTATTTGCTCTTAGATTTTGGTTTCCTACAATTGTAAATATACCTGATAATGACTCCTCAGTTGCGGCCACTCGCGGAGCGGTCATCCTGCACTACCATAATCATCGAGACGTGTTGAAACCTAAGAGAGAAGAAAAATGCTTATGATTTATTTCCCTGATAATGACTGCTCCCTGTTTGACTGTTCCCAACGAACAGCCAATTTGGATGGTTCAAATCAAAAGAACTTTAGATTTCTTCACTTTGCAGTGTCCGATACCTATTGGTCAGTCTGCGCGATGTTTTCTTCCTCTGTCTGCACGTTTGTTGATTAAATACATAAATATGTTTCCTACTTTACTGGGATGATTAACAAAACTTACTGTTGTTGTAATCAAGTTTAGTGACTTCACAAATATTTTGGGTTACGACAGAGAAGCCTAAACCAGGTTTGCCAGCCTATATTGTTTGTTTCTTTATTCATATTCGGTACGGGAAACCGTGAATCTAATGCTGGGTTGAAAGAGCATATCTGAACGTCTAGTTCATCACGATGAAAACTATAATGTGTATTAAATTAATTAAATTAAAATGAAAAATGAAATGAAATGAAAAATGAGTTGGAACGCTAGAAAGCACGTGACAACCGTTGTGTCCTGCTTGCATCCCATCAGCAATGTGCGGATCCATCGATACGAACGGGAATCGAACTCGGGACCTGAAAGCTAGAAGGAAAGCATATTAGGCACTGGACTACTGGGCAGCTGATCAAACCACATTTCATTTTGAATATATACAATAAAGGAGAACCTATCTTTTCGAGCTTAATAGGGGCATCACACCTAGCGCATCTCAGCACTCGCCCACAGCGTTACCTCTAAGCTGGAATCTTTCACATCATGAGTAGCTATCCTTTGAGAGTTTGGGCCTTTCTGTTTGCGATCCGTTTACACATCGAAATCATCACCTAATCAAATCAAGTCTGCCTTCACTTTTCTACGACGATGTTTATTCTAATTCACAAGACGATGGAGTAATATGATGTTTGGGTGAGCAAGCTGGGAAGAATATAAAATCTCGGTCAATTTGTATCACACACTGACTCCATCTGTGTTTTTGTATGATGTACTCTAGACCAGCTTTATTGAGAGGCCACATCACTAGCTCTGATGTTTCCAGATGTATCTGATATCCATGCATGGAGAAAAATTTAGCTGAGTCCAAATATATTTCTGTAATTCGGAAGAATAAATTGTGTTTGATCATTGGCACACATTGGGATATATTGTTTTGATCAAGGTTCAGTGAAAACGAGTTTCTATAGCGCATTGTTTTTAACGTTGAAGCATAATTCTTTTTCGTGGTCCCCATTCCAAGGAACCAAGTGTTTTGCGTCCTTACTATTAGTTATTCATCAATCGAACGCGTCGAAAAACGTTCTCATCAAAAATTCACTTACTGCATTCGTTACCCTGAGAAACATTTCATTTAGGTTTATTGCTGATCTCAGCCAATCCCAATTCTATCATATTATTTATTGATAGTCAAAGAATGACAACTGGTTCACATGGACTGAATAACATGGAGGCAATTTCCGCCTCTTTCATTGCCATCACGACAAGTGTTATTCCCAACTATGTTTCTGCTCTTTGTTNGCATTTTGCATGAAATAATACTCGCACACATACACATACTCGTCTGCACGCTTTCAAAATTTGGATTTCAGAAAAGCGATGAAAAAAGCGCTCATATTCAGCCTGATGCACGCATTTTCCCGATCAGTCAACTTGTTTTCTTACGCAACAGCCTTCCCGTTGGGTGCGTATCTGATTGAACGAAATGAGGTTTCCTCGTTCCGCGTGTTCCGGTAAGACTCGGTTCCGTGTATTTTTTTCCCTCACCCAGTTTCGCCACTTTTCCTTTCTTTTCTCTAAACATTGGTTTTCCAAATGATTAAGTGTTCTGTCACAGATCTATTGAACTACAATTAACCTCCTCGGCAATCCGCTTGCGCAAACTCAGTCAATGATGCTTAGACTTTCCCTGTCCCATTTGTCATCCCTTTTAGTTAGTTTAATTTATCAATTCAGGGCATCATGTTTGGAATACAGTCTTTGACGCTCACCGTTTTTCCAATTGGCAACCAGATTATAGATCACCGGAACGTTTAGGGTATTCTCTCGACCAAAGCTAATCGTTTTCTGTGAATAACTTCACAAAAGCGAATTTGTTTCGTAAAGTCAATGTTTCATTATGGCAATTACTAAAAAGCCCATGCTCCTCTTGTCCCAATAGGATTGCTACGCAATTGAATCATTTCTCGAGAAAAAATAATAAATGTCACATATAGTTCCGGGTAGGAGATTGAACACAAACTAGTCTTCAATTTGTAAAATTATGTTCTGTAGCAACGGGAGGTGCACCAGGGCTCCATCAAGTCTCCACTTCAAAGATTCAGCAGATGGCGTGAAATGAAAGAGTGCTCNAGAAGACTGATGCCAGCATTCCAGCAGACACTTGGGAAGCAGCAACTTACTTTATGCTCCCTGAGTTGGATGTTGGGCAACAGCGTGAGCAGCGGACGACATGGATGATCTGGGTTCTGCAATATTTGTTAAACCAAAATTAAGTCTCCACGACTTTGGCGGTACTGAGTAGAAGTTAATCCCAATGATGGTAAACTCTCCCCGTAGATGAGGTAGTGTAATGCCTTGACCGCCTTAGTGGTAGTACTTTGTGGACGCTCCGGCATCTCACGAACACGTTATGGTCATGGTTTTCATGCTTGGATCGCTCACAGTCGAAAGTAGGCTGGTAGTAAACGTGGGACCCACGTTGATTGAAACCGACCAAAGACGCGCCTGAGTAAGCCAACATTCTTCACAGCTGCGGGCGAAGCCTTTGCGTAATGGATTGGGTGGCTTATGCCTTCCTGATCAATTATCCCTAGGTCCTTCTTACTTGAGGCATGTCACAGCTACTGATTTCCAAGGAAATACTGGAATCTACTCTTGTGGCGTGGAGATGGGACTTTGTATTTAGAAGAATTGAATTCAACTTGGTTTTCCATAGACCATGATTAAGCTGCGTTAAATGGTTCTGGATGCGACAGTGAGTCTTTGTATTGTGTCACTGTATTCCATATTATGGCATCGTCCGCAACTTGTATGGTTTTTGGTCCTGGTATATTAGGTACATCATTTATAAGCATTTATTCGCCAGTGGGCGGGGGCTAAAGAGCACTTAATTTTGGTGCTTATCTTAGCAGACTGGCTGTACGTGCCTGTGGCCTCAACTCCATATCGTTGGTCTGTCAATATTAAATGATCACAACCTAATGAAAAATGTTTTCCTCGTGGATGAGTTAACAATTGTACAGAACGTGGCAACCGGATTACTGGTATTTTTGAAAACCTTTACTTCCGATGCATTTCATTAACAACAAAAATACCATGACGGTGGTTGTAGTGCTTGACATTTTGACAAAATCATCCTGACTTTACAGTGCCTTCAGTCATGAGTTTGACTTAGTACGTGCTTCAGACAACAGGGCTTCCTTGAACTGGGTCCGATAGAGCCAAGAGAAGTGAGCATACTGAAGCTCGGTCACCACAAACGTTTACCATTCTTATAGTTGATCCTTTTTTTACGTTTCTGGTCCTATTATGAATTCCAAAAAAATATTTCGTTTTTATGAGTTCAGTGAACACAGTGACGTTTCATCCAATGTCCATCGTCAACTGCTTATCACGTTAGTAACAGATGTCCATCAAATCGGCCTAGAAACTAGATGAATTTGCATTGGTGCCTATTTTGGTGAATTTGTATTGATATATGTCAATAATTTTGATGGACAATATTGGACGAAAATGTCCACCGAGTTTCTTTTCCATGCTCAACTCACTATCTTCTTTAGTCTCCTTTTCGTTCTTCCACTCCACTCTCAGAGCATTCGCCGCGATCGTGTTCAGTCTCACCGCCTCTGGACGCGTGATTGCATTTGTTCCTGATATGAAGCGTGCCGTAGATGCATCAAAGCGCATTCTCCGAATACTGGACCGAGTCTCTTTAATTCCAAAATATGAAGGCATGGAACCGACGGAACAATATGATGGTCGGATAGAAATAAAAAATATCAAATTTCGTTATCCGACCAGAATTCACGTACCGGTTCTGCGTGTAGGTTTGATCGTTGCCCGGTTGTTTTCCTATTGTAATTACCAATGTCTTCTACAGGTTATTGTCTCGAATGAATAACTATAGTTTTTTGCACCATTCCTCTCTTCCATTAGTTCCTGGTTTTCATCTCTGAAAATGAAAACGGTGACATCATCTAGCTATTCGTCACAGTGTCGTTGGGATGCTGACCTATAGCAATCGGATAAAACTATACCACATCTAACAGTATGTTACGATTTTTCTTAAAATACGATCATATACTAACTTATGAAGAAACGATTTTGCAACAGTAGATCGTTTCTTCTCCGAACCACATTATGTCCTCCGGTAAGGGCGGAATGCACCAAAAGGAGATTTGATTCAAAACAAACCACACCTGAGGAATCATTACGGTGATGTGGCCCGGGGGTAACGTCACCAGTTATCAACCCGGAGGACGTGTGTTCGAATCCCACCACCACCGCCTGTCTTCACCATTGGGTGCGTTGTACGGCAGCCCCGTGATTGGACGCTTCCCCCTTTCTGAAAAATTCTATTTTCGTATTCTCAATAAAAAGAAGTAGAAATAATAAAAGATTAAAATAAGATAAAGTATTATATACGTAGTTTAATACTTCTCACACGTCTGAGCCCAAACTGCATGCTGAATAAATCACAGATATGTTGCGTCTGATGTGAGACAATGTCATATTCAATCCCGTGAATGAGGCTGGAAGAACGAAGCATTGAGAGAAACCAGATGTGATGAAAACCAGGATGTTGCACGAGTTTAGTCAATACCTGTACATGGATCTTAAGAAAAATGTCCATGAATTGTTTATGCGCACGATACTGCCCGGTTTCCCAGGCCAAAGAAGGTGAATTCTCTTTGGGAATTCTGAGGAACTCCTGAACGGCGTGCGGTCGCTCAAGTTGTGCGCTCCCGGTTTAATCGAAATATTTCTGCGAA